CGGGAAGTTTGCGCGCGGCCCGGCGGGCGTCGGCTGCAGCGCGGGGCGCGGGGCGCGGGGGGGGGGGCTCCGGTGCGGGGGGCGGGCGGCGGCGGCGGCTCCGGGGCCGGTCGGAGCGGCGCCGCGCGGGACGGACGCGCTGATAACGGGGACCCCCGGAGCGCGGCGCGCGCGCTGATTGGCTGCGGCCCCCGCGGTCCGGCCATTGGCCAGCGCCCCGCCCGCCCGCGCGCCCCCGTAGGCCGCGCACTCTATGAAGGGCCCATTAGCGCGGCAGGTGCCTCCCGGGCTGTAAATTTGCCCCCTGATTTATCTCCCTGGGGACGAAATAAATCCCGCTTGGATGGGAGTTTAGTTAGGCAAAGGTTTTAATGAGAAATCAGGAAAAAATACGAGAACATATTTTATGAACGGAAAGAATGCAGATTTGAGACTCCGCCCGCGCGCTCGGAGCGCCCCACTCGGGAAGAGCCACGGCCCGCGCCCCGCTCGTGACTCTCCGCCGCCCGGGGCTGGGGTCGGTGTGGGCGGCGGCGGACGCTGGCAGGGAACGCGCTCCTGGCGGGTCCGGGCCACAGAGGGCGGAGGACGCAGGCCTCGGAGTCCACGGACCTCACGGCCCGGCGAGGCTCGCGCGGATCTTCTGGTTTCGCCATCGAGCGGCTGGCGTTGGCAGCCGGGCGACGCCGGCGGGAGAGGGCGGGGAGGCGAGTCCCGGGGCCACACATGCCGCCCTCAGTCCCCCGCGCTGCCCGTCGTCCGCCTCCTGCTGGGATTTGGGGGTCTCCCGCTGGGGGTTGCCCGGGATGTAACCCGGGCCCACGACTTCGCCCACGGGCGGTCTCTCTCGAATCCCTGGCGGGGAGAACAGTGACCAGGGCAGCCTCAGAGCGGAGCCTAGTCCAGGGCCTCACGTGGGTGCGGCTGGGAGGGCAGCGGCCTTCGAGGCGCACGCGGGGCCCGTGCCCTCCCCGGAACCAGGAGCGGCTCACTCATCCCGCGGACCAGCGTGAACTCCACTCCCGCCCCGGCGCAGGCTGCCGCCGAGCCAACGCTTCCACCTCTCGGGGGCCGTCTCATATTAACTTAGGGACACGGGACGGCTGACTGTGACCCGCCGCCCGTGGGGAGCCACGCCCCGAATGTGTGCACCGGGACAGCCGCCTCTGGGCCTCTCCTGGGCCTCGGGGGTCCTTTAGCAACGACTTTCTCGTTTCGCCGCGGCCGCCAGGGTGTCGGTGCCGCGGAAGAAGGCGACGCTCAGGCTCGGGGCCGGGGCCTCACGCCCGCCCCGCCGCTCCCCTCTAGGGTTCCATTTTCGTTTTGTGCCGTTAGAGGCGGGGATTCGGCGCTGCCACTTGCGGCCAAAGTCCGGGGCAGTTGTGCGGCGGCTCCTGCCTCTGCTGTGCGCGCCCAGGGCCCGGCGGCGCGGCCTAGGAGTCCCCTCAACGGAGGTGCAGCCCTGCGCTCCGCGGGTTTCGCTGCCCCGGGCGGGTCCGCACTGGATTCGATTGGGATTGGGACTCGACTGGGCGCGGCTGCCCCGCCGGAGATCGGTCCCTCTGGAGCCTGGCCGGGGACCCCCCAGCGCGCGTCCGCCCGGCCCCGACCCACCCCTCCGAGGAAATGCGAGGAAGGGCCCTCAGGGTCGGGTTCGGGCCCCTACGAGAACCCCAAGGCGACGGCGCCCCGGGGGCTGCAGGCTGGGGGCGGGGCCGGCTCTCTTCCTGGAACCCCAGCTCCGCGCAGCCGAACAGACGCTGGGCGGGCCAGGAGGGGCGTGGGTGGCCTGAACCGAGGCTAGGGGAGGCGCACGCGGGCGGGACGGCCGGAGGAAAGCCGCGCTCCGGACGGGCTCTGCGGCTTCTCACACCCGGGGCGGGGCGCGGCTCGAGGCGTTGTTAGCACCGTTTAAGGCCTTAGAAAACGGAGACCTGGAGGCGCTGCGCCGCGGCCGGGCGACCCTGGGTCTGTCTGCGCCACCAGGTCCACCCTGAGCTAACGCGGGAACGCGTGGGTCGCGGCTGGGGCTGGCGTCTCATTGGCTCCGGAGTGCGCGGCTCTCCAGGGGCCAGGAGCTCGGAAGGGGGCGGGTCGCGGTGCGGGATGTGGGGGCCTGGCGAGTTGGAGGCGCCAGCGGAGCCAGGTAAGGGCGGTCCCTTTTCCAGGTTCTTCTAAGCCGTGGGCTTCTCGGCGCGCTCCTCAGGTCCCAGCTGGTTCCCCGCCCGCGCCCCTTGCGCGCTCCTGCCTCCCCCCCGCCCCGGATCCGCGGGCCCGGCCCAGCGGCTGCACCTCTGGCGCTTCCCGGGGCCAACTCCGGGCCCCCGCCCCACTCCAGCCCCCGGCGGCACCTTTGCTCCAGCGTCCCCAGGCGCCGCCCCCTCGGAAACATCAGAGGCGACGCCCCCTCCTCCCAGGGAGGTCCGAGAGCCTCCGCCGCCTGGGGAGGTTCGCGAATGCCACCTCCTGGCCTGGGAGGAAACGTCCAGCGGAGGAAGGCGCCGGCGTCCAGCGCCAACGCTCAGCGCTGGAAAACCGAGCGCGCAGGTTGGCAGAGACCGTTCCACGTTTGTGTTATTCATTGAGCATGTATTTGTGGGGCTCCTGCGCCCGGGCTGTCCCGGGGGAGCAACGTGAACGCAGCGGGCCCGGCCCCGGCCCCGGGAGCGGGCGGGTCACGAGCAGCAAACGCGCCGCACCCCCGCGGCGTCTGCAGGGGGTGGAGCGGGCGGTGGAGAGGCCGGGCGGGGGTCTCGGGCCGGGAAGGAGGGCCGGCCTAGGCCCAGGTGTCCCGGTCCCGTATCCGTTGGGGGCTGGGAGGCGGCGAGAGGGGGCCGGCGGGCCACGGGGACTCCACACCGAGGGAGCCGGGATTCGCCTTCAGACGCCCAGGCCACGGGACTTCACAAAGCCCTGATTTGTCACTGAAATGACTTGTCCCGCGCAGCCCTAGGCGAACTGCTAAGCTGCTGCCCTGACTGCGCCCCCGGGGCGGGGGTCGCCTGGTAGTCCCCGGCAAAGGCCCTGCTTGTCGTTTTCCCTTGAGTGAGCGAGTTTCCAGTCTCTCCAAGCTTGACAAGCAGTTGCACCAGACATTCCAGACACAGACGGGGCCTCCCCGGGGCCTTGTGCCCAGAGCAAAAAAAGACCCAAGATGACCCAAGGGAACCCTCCGTCGTGGCCACGCATGGAAGCGGAGAGGTGAGGTTGCCAGGGCCCCCCCAGGAGCCCAAGCGGCGGCCGGAGAAAACCCCATCCCCACCCCCCAGCACAATGGGAGGGGCCCTGCCTCCCCTGCATCTCCAGTGCTCTCTGGGGCAGCCCGGCTGGAGCAGCGGCAAAGAGCTGGGAGGCAGGCGCAGATCCCAGCCAGGCAGCCCCGGGGCCCCGCTGGGCCCACCATGGATCCAGCCAGGCCTGAAAGGCCATGAGCTCGGAGGGCTGGAGTGGGAACTGGCCCAAGGGCGGGTAGTGATACCCCTAGGTGGGCAGAGGAGACTTCCGTCCTCACCTTGGCCTAGCCTGGCCCCTTCTCACACTCACCTCCAGCGCTGCCTGATGTGCCCCCCTGCTTTATCTCAGAGGCCTTGAGGCCCCGCCTCCACCTGCGGCCACCTAATTCCATCCCAGGCCTGCCAGGCCCTCCCCTCGCGGCCCCCAGGCTCACCCACCCTGGCCACTCTGCCCCCAGCTTTACATGGCTTACCTCCTCCACTGGGCCTCAGCTTGAGGGACGCCTGCTTACCACCTGCGCAGCACAGCCCCTGGCCGGAGGCACTGGTGGGTGCACCTGATGTCACCTCCTTCCCCACTGTCAGAGCACCTGTCTGGATGCAGGGACCCTTCGCTGTGGGCACCTCCAGGACTGAGTTAATGCCGCTGGGGGAATGAAGACAGCGGCAGGCCTCAGAGGGATTTTTTAGAGCCTCGGCGTGGGTGGGAGAGGGAGGACTGTGCACCCCACTTCTCGCTGGGAGGAGCAGGCACTGTGGAGGTACCTCCAGACCCCGCCCCCCCCGAGCCACAGGGCACCTCCCAGCGGAGCCTGAGGTCTTGTTGTTTAGACCAGACAGCCCCACCCATCTATTGAACTGGAGGGTGTCCATGTAGAGCCCAGGCGGCTTCTGGGGGGCCCAGCTCCGGGTGGGGTGTCCAGGTGCCCCGTCCTCCGGGCTGTGGTGGCCTCTTGCCCACTCACCAACACTAACTGGTCAATGTAAAGTGGAGGAGCAGGCTCTGACTCTGCTTCTCCCATGCTAAGGGCCAGGACAGGGTGGGTGCTTGCTGGAGCTGGGACAGGGCCACAGTGGCTGCCTGAGCACCCAACACTCTCCCTGAAGGATGCGGGCCAGGCTGTGGAATCTGGAACACCAGTGAGTTGGGGAGACTCTCGGGGGGGCTAAGAAAGAGGGCAGGGGAACGGAGTGGGCAGGGGTGCCAAGGCTGCCCACCCTCCCTGGCAGGGAGCAGCTTCACTGGCAGGCAGGGCTGGTGGACCTGGAGGGCAGGGGAGGGAGAGCTTGCTTCGACTGCAACTTTGGGGTGGGCCCCACACACCTGGGCTTTGCAGAAGCTCTGGCCTCACTGGGCCTGA